ACTGCAACTCCCAGAAATCCTGGCCAGCACAGCAACTGGGAAGGCTTCTGGGAGTTGCAGTCCAAGAACATCTGGAGAGACCCCAGTTTGAGAACTGCTGCTTAGGCTCTTGCTCTGTAGACTACTTAGGACCTGGTCTTGGTGTGTAAATATCATTCCCTCCCCCTCTTTCATCTGGTAGCCTCTGAACCAGGCTTTGCTGAGGGCTTTATGGCTTCAGAATAGGGCCATGATCATCCTTATCTGGAACCTTCACTCCAAGCTGGCATGGCAATGCCGGTGGGCTGGGAGACACAGGAGAATTGTGCACATGGCTGGCTAGTCTAGATAAAGGGGTTGCTGTTATTCTGGCCTGGCTGTGTACCACACCCAAGTCCTTGGATGGGAGATAGGATTCCATTCAACATTCAAAACCACGATAGAAATGTCTATGTGCATATGGATGAAATGTGCAATTGAACTCAAGCTTGATATATGAAACTGTTGTGGAAGACACCAAGGAGAAGGGAGCATAAACCCAATGTCTGTCTGGAAGCCAGACCCCAGAGCAGTATGTTTTTCTTGATGCAGCACATGGTTGAAAGAAGCCCACTCTGTTTGAGAAAAGGACTCAGATGTTGCTTTCAGTTGCGGATTCTTTCAAAGCCAAATGTGTGGGAAGGCCCCAGGGTTTGAGTAAACCAGAGGGGACTGGCACATCTTGAGTGTGAGCAAGGTCCCTGTGGGGCCTTCATTTGCTCTTGTTTTTCTCTTCGCATTTGAGTTTCAAATATCTTTCGTAGCTGGCAGGATTTAAGGGAAACAAAAAAATGAATTTGCAGCAGGGGGCACCGTAGAAGCATGTTTTCCATCTTGTCGCCCAAGAATTGATGCCATTAATAGTTTGGAATCGTGAACATTTTTGTTCCAGTTTTCCATTGGGAGGAGAGAGAAAAAGGTGCCTAAGGCAACTAACATGCAGCACTAAAAACAAGCAAAATAACAAAAGCATTAAAAGAATAATCATTGTAGCATCCCTTTAAGATGACGTTTGCCACCGTGGGCACAGTATCAAAGTTCTCTCTTGTCTTCCCTCCCTCACCATTGTTCCCCCCCCTGCACCCCACCCACCCCCCTTTCCAAGGTGAGCGATGAAATGGTGGTGGAGCTGATTGAGAAAAACTTGGAAACTCCCCCTTGCAAAAATGGCTTCCTTTTGGACGGGTTCCCACGCACCGTGCGGCAAGCGGAGATGGTACGTGGATCCAGATGCGCCCTGAGAGCTCCCCCCTCGGTTTTGGTGGTCCGTAGCTATCTTACTTCCAGTGAGACCTTGTTAGGTTCCAGATTTCCCAACAGTTCCAGATTTTTGATTGGAAGAGGTCACCCAGCCCATTCTCCAAGATCACGGTCTAATTCATTGCGTTGCTGCTGTGCGGCCTGGAGGTTTTACAGCTGAGCAGTGCTAACCTGCTGAGAACGGATTGATAGAAGATTCAGGAGTAAATAAGAGTCAAATCTCTACTCCTCCAAACCCAGTATTATCGACTTCCATCAGTCTGTTATTCATCTTCAGCCCTTGGGGGGGGGGGCAGGATCCTTTCCTGTCTTTGCCTGGAGATCCCTAGGGTTGAACCCAGGACCATCTGCAAATAAAGCCCCTGGTCTACTGCTGAGCGACAGCCATTCCCTTGTGCATGGCTGTTGTCTTGGGGGGCTTGAAAGAGACAGTGAGGGCGACAGGTGTGAGGCATGATGATTCCCTCCTCCCAGATGGAACACATCCTTTTCTCAAAGGCTGAGTTCCTTCCCTTTTCCTTACTCGGAACAAATGAATACAAGACAGCAATTGTTTTGGGGGAGAATAGGGGAAAGTCTTGCAGAATAGCAGGAGAGCCCAAGGGCAGAACCATTTCATAGAAGTGGGTCACTCGGGGAAGGGAAAGAGGGAGAAGAAGGTGGTTGTCTTCTCTGTAAAGTCATGAATTGCACCCACTTGTGGCATTTATATTGGATGCCAGTTTTGAACCCGAGCCCTGCTCCCTTGGGGTGCATCTCTTGCTCCGGGGGGGGGGGGGACTCGCTTCATTTTTATTGGAATTTTCTCTGTGTTGTTTATGTTAAAAATAGCTTCTTCCTCTTTTCCTCTCTTCCCCCCCCCCCAAATACTACAGCTGGATGATCTCATGGAGAAGAGACAAGAGAAGCTAGATTCGGTCATAGAGTTCAAGGTTGATGATTCCCTACTGATCCGGAGGATTACTGGACGGTAAGAGGCATTTCTCTGGGCAAGCATGGGATATCGTTTGCAATGTTTTCCTCATGAGTCTAGATGTTGCTCCTTAACTCTTCTCCTCAACCAGGTCTGGGCTAAACTCTGCTGATTCCTCTGGTCTGTTCTAGGCTGATCCACCCAGCAAGCGGCCGCTCGTACCACGAGGAGTTCAACCCTCCCAAGGTCCCCTTGAAAGATGATGTAGGTGACCCTTCCCGCTTCATCTCTTGTCCTTTAAGACTCCGCTCAAATTACTCGGGGATCTGTGCCCCTCCAGATGTGAGAGGGCTACAGTGCCTGTTACCCCTAGTTAGCAAAACCAGTGGTTGTTAATGATGGAGGTTGTAGTCCAGCAATGTCTGCAGAGTTGCACTTTCCCCAGCCCTGCTCAGAAGCTTTCAGATGTCCTTCAGAATAGAGGAGAGACGTCCAGACTCAATTCTGTGCTGTGTTTTGATTTGCCTTGCTCCTGACTTGATTTTGGATTTCGACTTGACAAGTCCATTGAGAATCATAATGGAAACCCTACGGGTTTGAAGGGTTTTGACTCTTTCCTTCAGAGCAGCTGGGATCTACTGAATGTTCCCTGACTTACAAAACAGACCTCAACAGCTGGCTGGGGAGGAGGCAGGGTTTGTTTTGGGATCTCCTTGATCCCCAGAGTGGCCTGGTTGATCTCCTGCTGAGAGGAGAGGCCCTTTATAGCTCAGAACAAACACAAAGAAGAATGAATGGAAGGAGCCTCTCAAGAGCCAGGATGATGGTGGCTTAAGTTCCTTGTCTTTCAGGGTAGCATTTGAATTGGCTTCTCACCCCTCCCCTCAATGAGCAGTCTCCAAGTGAAGGTGCAGATCTGCATCTCAGTGTGTTCGTCCTCCACCTCAATGTTGAGCAAACATGCAGTTTGCATAACAAAGTGGCTTCAAAGGAGGGGTAAAATAATCCTGCCTCCAGAACACTGAGATTCTAGATAGCAGCGCACAAATTCTAGGAGGGCCCTGCCTCCAGAGTGGCACATAGGGCCTCAGACCTCTTGAGGGTGGTGGGGGTGGGTGTCCATGCCATGAACTTGAACATTGGCAGCCACCCCCACCCCATTTTCTTTGCTGGCACTTTCTTAGTTATGGGATCTGACCCCACCCTTGAAGGCAGGTCATGCTGGCCCAGTGCCACCATGTCTGTGTGTCCCCCCCAAAAAAAGACTTGATCACGGATGCCTTCCTTGTTCTCACCAGGTCACTGGGGAGCCCTTGATTCGCCGCTCGGATGACAATGAAACTGCCTTGAAGACTCGCCTGAAATCCTACCACACTCAGACCTTGCCGCTGATTGACTACTACTCGAAACGTGGGATCCATAGAGCCATTGATGCGTCCCAGTCCCCAGACGTGGTTTTCGCCAGCATCCTAGCCGCTTTCTCTAACGCGACATGTAAAGACCTGGTTATGTTTGTTTAGGGACCCTTCTGCTGTTGCCTAAGAGCTTCCTTCTCTTCTTCTGTCTTCCGGGGTCAGGGAATGAGAGAGAGAGCGAGAGCTGTAGGGTGGGGGGGTTGCAAAGCAGCTAGAGAGGACTCTGTTCAAACTGTCCATCAAAAAGGATTGTGACTGCTTTTAAATGTGTTTATTATGTGCATAGAGAGAGAGAGAGAGAAGTATTTTTCGAACAGGCTTGTCCTGTAGGGGGTGCAGCAGGATACAAATTCCATTTCCTGAGCATAGAAAAAGGATGATCTGTGCTCCAGCAGAAGCGAAAGTAGTTTTGGTGCTTCCCCAGGGAGCTGTGGTTTCTGCCCTTCCGCCTACATGTCTGGTGGCCCGGGTGAAATGTTTCTGGCGGTGCTGAAGGTCAAGAACGAGCAAGGGCGGCAGGAAACAGAGCTGCTGGCTGGCTTGGCTCTTCATGTCCCTGGCGGTGCCTCTGAAGGACATCCAAGCCCATGTCAGTTCAAGAGAGGGTTTGCCAAAGCACAGGCCTCTGCACTTCTGTGAAGAAAGAATTAAACGTTTCTGGGCACATGCATGTATCCTGTTTTGCCCTCGTCAAGTGAAATCATAACAAGCAATGCATCTGTTCCAGACTTCCACAGCCACCCAGCTGGGAACATGGCGAGTCAGCACAGAATTCAGAATCTCTTGTTTCGATTCCCTTTGGGGTTTTTTCCCCCCTTTCAAAATGAGAAAAGTTTCCCATTGTCCGAATGCTTTAGGATCTTCATCACTCTTGCAAGTAACATTGGGTGAAGGAGCACTAGCAGAACTTGTCATGGCATGGGCCTGGCGCGCGTGACCCACACTAACGGGACTGTTAAGGCAAGGCAGAGGGCTTTAATTTCATGGCATATTTCTGGCTGGGATGCTGGTCAGGAGGGCTTGCAGCTGAGTGTCCACTTCCGATCTGTCCCATGTTTTACAAAGGACCACCTTCCAGACCACCCGGATGTCCCGGGGTCACCATTAAAAGTGGCCATGGGTCTCACACAGTCGTCCAGCCTTCTTCCTTAGGGCGGTAAAGTACAGAATGCCTATAGTGGGAGTGTTGCGTAAGCATGTATCTGTCCATCCACCTTATGTCTTTCTCTCATTCCTTCCCTTTGCTTCTTTTCGCTCATTTCTTCTTGCATTCATCTTTAATTTCTCTCCCCCCTTTTCTTTTTGCCTGTGGCACTCTTCTTTTGAAGAACTCTGAATCAGATGAAAGAATCTCAGGGTGCAAGCATTGCTCCACGGTGGAGCCTGTGCCAGTTGAGTGGGCTGGGATATCCGTGAGCAATTTGGAATTTTAAAAAAGAAAGAGGTGGGAATCTCAGTTTGGGCCAGAAATGTGTGGTTTAGTAGAAGAGGCTTGCTCATTTTTCCTGGCAACCATCTCTGAATTTTAAAAATGCCAAATTAAAAATTTACAGTAGGCTACCAAATGGATCTACCGAGATACTTTCTTGAAAACAACCTTGCTTGCTGCCGTTTCTTTTTCTCCCTGGGCGTCCAGAAAAGAAGGGATCAGGGATCCCTAAAGGGTCAAACTCTGTTTTCTAGAAATAGCCCTTGTGTTGATAAGGCATTCCACCCCCCGCCAGAGAATTTTTACTCAAGATGAGACCAACATGGCAGCTTGTATCAGGGTTGACCTTAATCTCTTCTACTTCATCCCAGGGGAGAATAACCCTTAGACACAGAGGTTTCTGGGGGCATTGGTCCTCTCTCTTTCTAGGAAACAGGCATGGCTGAAACGGAAAGTGTCTTTTGTTGCCACGCCATCTCCCAGACGCTGAGACCTTGTTAACTAGGATTAGGAGCTCTCCCTTGAGCGTAAGCGGCTTTGGTCCCGGCATGGAGAATCCTTTGATAACTGCCAAAGAAAGCCCCACATTATAATCTAATGGAGGGGAGAGACCTGACCGGTGCCTTGCACTTTACGGAGCAGCGTTTGTTACTTAAACAGAGGAGTTATCTCGTGCTAGGTCAGGCTGAGCGTTGCTTCACTCACTGATGGCCAAAACCGGTCCTCTACTCTTTCAACCTTGCCTATTAAGCGCTGCTTTCATTGCAAAGTGCCGGGAGAAAAATACTGTAAACGTTAATGTAGAAATGCTTTTAATTAAGAGTAGGCAAGGCCTGAGAGCTAGTTTTCTGCCCGTGGGCTCCATCAATCCTAAATGGTGAGCGGGGTTGGGGAGGGGGGAATGACACAGCAGTAACTAGATCAGTTACTCTTCCAGGAGAGGGATATTTTGGCTGGGTGGAAAACAGATCATTTTAATTGAGCGAATTGCTGCTCCTGGAGGCTTCTCTTACTCTGTTCAGTGTTTGGTGGTTGTTGTTTTTTTGGGGGGCGGGGAGTTAGAAAGCCTGGGTCCCACTCCTGACTCAAATAAAGGAATAGGCAAGCACTTCCTTTCATCTTGTGTTGCTTGTCTCTCTATGCTTTTCTGTCTTCCATAACATTCCATCCATTTTGAGTTTGTAAGGCCCATTTTTCTTTTTATATTTGTCTTCACCTCAGCTGCATGAATCCAGGAGGCGGACAGGACGGGACGGGACACCACCGAGAACAGCGGGTTCATCCCCTCCACCCCTCTGCCCTTGAGTTGAGGGGTGGGAAGGAGGGAGGGATGGATGGATGGATGGGTAAGGAAGGTTGCCACCTGTTTCACCAGAATTGCACTCAAGAGGAAATGATTGTTTTTCGAAAAGGCAAAAAAAATATTTGAGAAGGCAAGGGGACACTTTGTTGTGATGGAGCGTAGGGCTGGGTGTCTTGGCCTGTGAGGTTAGGAAACCGCCATCATGCCTGTAACGAGGCATCAGAGGGACAGGAGCTTTTTTACAGCCATCTAAAACCCAGTTGCTTTTCCTGGAAAATAACCAGCAATTTAGAAAGCATTCTGTGAAGACAAGATTCCCAAGCCGGGGGTATTCTGCACAAACAATTCCTTACAAGGATCCATAAACCCAGAGCCCCCAGTTGTGCAACAGTCACTGCTTGGACCCCCGCTTTCCTTTTGCACAACCCCAGAATGAGCCGGATCCTTCTGCAGCTTCTGCCTTAGCTGTGAGCAGCTCTTCCTGTCACTCCTAAGCAAATATCTGTGCTTTGGGCCACCCCTGGGAATCCCACAGGAGCCTTGCTGGCAGTGGGATTCTGGGAGGCAAGGTCTATAAAACCAGAGGTTTTCTGTCTTTACCCCTGGGGCAGCAGCACTGCAGAATCGTGACCCTTGTCCTCCAGAGTAAACACGCTAGAACAGTGACTCCTGCGAAACGAGGGTGAGTGGCTCTTAACCCGTCTGGAGAGGCCCCCATCAAAGAGTGATGATGCCCTCTGATTTTTATTCTGGATCAAAGCAGTTTGCCCTTGTTGCGTGCTTCTGCCTGGTGCCCTTCAGAAGGACTTCAGCGCCTGTCCTCTCAAGCCGTGTGCTGGGGCCCGTATCATTCCTACAAGTGTTCCCTCAGATCCTGGGGAAGGAGGAAAAGCCAAGGATCCTTCCCCCGGAGAGCTGCTGGCATTTCTCCTTCACTTACCCTCTCCTGGGAAGATCACCTGCTGTATAATAAAAGTGACTTGTCAATTTTGTATCTTGGTGTGTGTGTGTGTGTGTGTGTCTTGCAGGCAGAAGGGGATGGGAGAGAAGCCACAGAAAGCAGCTGGTTCCAGCTCATTGGGATAGGTTCTTTTGGGAAGGGTTTTGAAAAAAGTTATTTAAGCCCTGAGGCTTTAATTGATGTGCCGAGGCTCCTGAGGGACAGGGCCATGATGGTTGATGCCGTCTCAAGCTGCCATGACTACATCGTCTAGAGTGGGTCTTCATCCCGGCTCTAGTGCAAGAAAGAGAAAAGTCCACCATCCTACAGGAGGCTGTCTTGAAAAGGCAACGGAGATCCTACGAGATCCCCAGTGTCCTGAATGCCACAGAGTGATGTGCAAACATTAATGAGAGCAAACAGGAAAGAGTTGCATCTGTGCAGCCTCCTCGGGCTTCTCTTTTCTTTCCTGCTAAAAGGCAGCCCTTTCAGCCGCTCGCCCACTTGTGCAACACCCATCTCTGTGTAAATGTCTCTCTTTTTTTTTCAATGGCTTTTACCATAACCACGGAGTTTTTAAATCATCTGCGGGAACCTTATTTTTTTTTTTTTTTAGATGGCCCCAGTCAGTGGTTTTCTAATTATGGCTCAGTTCCCCATTCAGCAAGAAGCCCTCAAGCAGCGATCTGACAACCCAACCACCACAGCCATGCATCGCATGCACTTTGAGAACTGTCCATATTGACTTATTGGGTCACCGCTCTTGAATTTCCAGATTGTTGGTGTTTTTTTTTTTTTATGTGATTCCAGAAAAAACTGTTTTTGCAGTAAGGGGGAGGGGGAGCAGACTTGGCTCCAACACTCCTTGAAAACTGGCCAACAGTGTCAACACAAGCTTTGTCGTCCCTGACCCACACACCACCTCTTTCCCTTTTATTTTCTAGCAGAAGCTTCCCACGCCGGGCCTATGAGTTCATCTGGAAAGTCCCACAAACGGTCAGGGTGAGAGAATGGGAAGGGGGCGCCATGATCTTAAGACTTGCTGGTTCCTAGCAGTGTATCCCTAATGCTGGCTCACTTCTAGGATCTGCAGAAAAAAAAACGTTCCACCCGTTGCCACGAAAGTGAGGTCTTTGGTTTCCACCCAGCTTGACTCCCCAGACTGTATAAGATGCCCATGGCTTTATTATTTTATTTATTTTAAAACATTTTTTATCCCACCTTTCTCCTTCGGAAGGATCCAGGGTGGCTCACATCCTTGAAAGGCAATATATAAAGCGAATTATACCTGCCTTTTTTCATTTTGCGGAGAAGAAAGGGTTGTGGCACAATGCTTTCTCATAGGTGGAACGAACACGCCTTCATCGGGGGTGGCCCTTGTGGGTCTCCTGTGTTGGGGTTGAGAGGCACTTCTTGGCTGGGATCCTGTGGTGTAGCATAAAAGCAAAGGGGTGGTGCCCAAGATCTGCTTTAAATGGTGCTGGCAGGTCTCTCCGGGTCGTTTACAATTCAGTTATGCAGGCCACGCATTGCCCACCCCACACAACCTGGGTACTCATTTTACTGGCCTCGGAAGGCGGTCAACCTCAAGCCGGCTAGCTGAGCCTGTCAGGATCAAACTTGGGTGGTGAGCAGAGTCTTGACTGCAGTGCTGCAGTTTAACCACTGTGCCACGAGGCTCCTATTCCACAGGTGCAGCTGGTTGCACTAGAACAGGCCCTTTGAATCAGTGGGGATTTGTTGAGTCAACCCCTCTGCATTTTCTGTTGACTCCAATGGACCTTAACTGCATTGAGACTTCCTATGCTAACCCGGAGCAGGCCCACCGGAATCAATGGAACGTATAGAGAATTGACTCATTAAATCCCCAGTGATTCAGTAGGGCTGCTTCACTGGGACGTGTTACACTAAGTAACAGGTTTTCGCCCATTGATTAGTTCAGGGTTTCCCTCCTCCCCAGCCTTAGACACATGTAGAGCTTTTTGAACTTGCAACTTTACTATCACAACAGCCCCTGGAGGTAGGCCAGGATGAAAGGGGGGGGGCTGGCCAAAAGTTGCACAACTGAGTGGAGAGACCAGACCCTGGTGGTACCAAGCCCTAGTTCAACCCAGTTTAACCAGGTCCTCTTGCGAATGCCCCGTTACCTCTTGAGCCCAACGCAATGGGATCAAAGGAGAAGAATTCCGCCATTCGTTTGGAATACAGTAGCCAGATGTGGGGGAAGCTTGAGCCCTCTGAAATGTCCCTCTTTACAGATGGACTATCCTCAGATTAATCGATTTAACGTCTGCTTTTTAATGGATTAAATTTAAAGGGCTTTGCTTGTTTCCCACCCGCTCTGGCTTCACGTAGGTGCCCTTTCTCAGTGATTGAAGGCGTGCAGGAGCTTACAATGTAATCAACAAATGCTCCCTGTTGCTAGAATTAATGGGCACCTGCCGAGTCGTCTTCCTTCGTGTGTCCCTGGTGCAGGGGCGCAGGGGAACCAAGATTGCTTCGGAAAGAAAGTCAGGGTTCGCCTCCGGCCCTAGAGATTAGCTGTGGGATTGATCCAGTGGCAACAACGTGCAGCTTGCATGCAGAAGGTCTACCCATGACTTACAGAACTTCATTGAGGCCCCAATTTTATTCATTTCTCCACTGGCACACAGCCTAGACAATTATCCTGTAAACCCTCTTGGATTCTGAGGATCCCTGGACCCAGAACCAGATACTGTACTACGTTGTGGTCCTTGAACAAATAAACCCCCACCACCACCCTACCATGGAGGGTTCAGCCCAGAAAGGCTTCCTTCTGCACTGGGGGTGGGGGGGGTGGATGTGAGCAAACCACTGGCTTCCTCCTCAGGTT